GCGAGAAGCCGCTCCTGTGCGGGGGCCGCGGCAGCAACGGGGCCGCCCGGGGCCCCTCCGCACACCCCACCCTGGTCGGCAGCCTCCCCGCGTTGGCCGAGAACCCCTTCTAAGGCCCGGGGAGCCCCGGGAGCCCCGGTTGGGGCTGGACAACCCAGAACCCGATGCCCGACGGCGGCTGGAGGGGCGCCACGGGGGCTTCCCCGTCCACCTGTCCGCACGGCGCGGTGGTCTGGGGACGGCGGCTCCGTGCTGCGCCGCCGTTTAAGGACACGTGTATGCTCCAACAATAAAGAGTTTGAGCAGTGCCTGCCTTGCACGCCCCGGAGAGCTGAGCCGAAGGAGAGGCGCGGGCTGGGCCCAGCGCTGCTCCCTCTGGGAGCCCCCCCTTTACAGATGGATCGGGGCCACAGCCCCGCAGAGGGCCGGACGGCACGCGCCGCGCCTGGCGGTGCGCCTCCCGCCGCCGCTGGAGCAGTTTCTGGCCCCCCTCCCACGCTGCTTTAGGTGCGGGTCCACACACCCTGCGCCAGAGCGGGTGGGCCCCCGCTGGCTCTGGCCCCCCCGCGGCACAGGCACGCGAACGGGGTGGGTGGCGGCTGAGGGAAGCCACCAGCCCCTCGAGAGTACGGCGACGTCTCTGCCTCGGGCCCCGGCCGACCCCGAACTGGAGACCTCTTCCTGGCCTCTACCCGATCTGGCTCTAGCCACAGCTTGCCGACCGCGGAGCAGATAAAATGGGGAGATGCCAACCCCCAAACTGAAATGACCCGAGTGACGGCAGCAGTTTTCCCAAGACCTCTGCGCGGTCCTCACACGACCACTTAGCAGAGCGGCCCGACCCAGGACACCCCACTCCAGCGTGTGGCAGGACAGCGGAGTGCAGCGGTGGGCACCCTGTGTGGCGGGCAGCGAGGGCTGGTGCCCCCCAGGAAAGAGTAGAGGGTCCCCTATAGGAACAGCCGGGCGGTGCACTGGGGTGGGGAACCCAACTGTTTGGGGACGCACCGTGAGGCCCACGCTGCCCTCTTGGGGAGAGCGCGTCTGATGCAGAGGCCAGAGCCAGGTGCAGGAGCAGAGGCCGTGCTCACTCTGGAGTGGCCCGGGACCCGCGCTGTGACGCCTGTTGGGGGGGGGGGGGTTGTCGGGGAGGAGGACGCCATCGGAGGAGGAAGGAGCCAGAACGGAGAGCACAAGCTCAGCTGCCTGCCAGGTGTCCCTGCTTCAAGGAGCTGGTGGGAGGTGACCACGGAGCTCTGGGGTGTGGGGTGCCCACAGCCTCCACAGGCCACGTGCGCTGGAACTGCTCAAGCAGAGCCAGGCTAATTGGAGAAAATGAGAGGACAGAAGGCCTCTCAGGAAAGGTAAATAAAATTACTCACCCACCAGGCACCGGGCCCTCCTGAGGCGGCCTTCACCCTGCGAGGCCCACACCCACTGCAGGCCCGGATGTGGCAGGGAGGGAAGGGAGAGAGGTGGGCAGGGAGAAGGGGGCGGCTAGTTACGGGGGACGGAGCTCTCTTGCGGCCCAGGCGGGTGTCCAGTGTTACTGTGATGGACAGTGTGCAGAGCAGGGAGGCCTTATCAGCCATGCAGGGGGAAGACGGAGGCCCCTGACCTTGAGGCTTCAAGCTAGCTCTTCTCCCAGGCCCTCCTGAGCCCCTGCCCACAGGGCAAGCCCTGCCAGCCCTTGAGGCCTGGAAGCCTATGTGGGCACAAGTTAGTACAGGGAAAGCAGTTCTCCTTCACGCTAGCTGAGCTCAGGGTTGGTGACTGCCTTGGGGGGTGCGCCACTCACCTAGTGGCCTCCTCACAGCCCCCCCTATCCTGACTCCCTCTGCCCTTCTCCTTCACCCCTGTCCCTGTCACCAAGGGAACTGCAGCAGACCGGCAGAGCTGAGGGTGGAGGCAGAGGCCTGGCAAGGGCTGGACTTGCCCAGCCAATAAACACTGACTCTGACCAGGCAGCCCTGCAGGTGGGGAGGAGAGGGGATGGGTGGGGGAACCCACTTTCTCACAGCCCAGCACCCACACAACATCTCTGTCCAGGAAAAGGAACACTCCAGGCCCTCTGCCTCTTCCCCATCTCCACTGCTGTCCTTGACCTCAGGCCCTTCCCCAGAATATACGAGTACTGCCTTGCATGTGTGCACATGCATGCGTGTGTATGTACGTGCTACTAAAATGAGTGTGAAGAACAAGAAAGAGGAAAACCTGGACTATAATAAACAGGGATCAAACCTAGGAGAGTTGAGAGGTCATACCCAGGATGGCCGCTGTGTGCCAGGCAGAGTGCATCACTGGGGGGAGGGGACCTCAAGCAGGGCAGAAAGTTACAGGAGAGACACCCTTCAAGGGGACCAAATGACTAAACACACTGAGGGGAAATTTAGATGACCTGGTGGAGAGTTCAAGACTTAATTAGTATTAATACACAGAAAACTAAGCAAATGAAAAAAGAACGCCATTAGGAGCTTCGAGGAAAAGTTGGGCAGAAAAAAACAATCACAATTTACCACGTGGTTCAGCTCTAAATACATCATAATGTAAATACTCAGCACTGACATAACCAAAGTCATGAGAGAAAAGAACTGTCTAGGGAGGATGGTGGATGGGAGGTGGCAGTGGGGAAGAGAATGGAATAGAAAAATCAAGAAGGAACAGTGTGTGTATGCTACTAAGAAAGAGAAATACAGTTGAAAGTGGTTGTCTGTAGGTGGGGCCAGGAGAAGACCACCAAGGCTGGTCCACTCCCTGACCTCCACCTCTTCCTGGACACTTTGGCAGCCCTCAGCCCCAGGTCCTCCTCCCCCCAGCCCCCTGCTTGCTTTTTCCCTGACCTCACTTTCCACTGCTCAGCCCCTTTTTTTCCTGCTACCTCCTCCCCTCCTTGACTGCAGTGCTCAGGGATCAGGCCACCCTCCTCCCTTACTGGTATGTGAAAACTATCAATATCTTAGATGATTTCCCAGTCTTATCTCCAGCCCCTGTGGCCCTCCCAAATCCACACTTTAGACTCATCTTCCCATGCAACCCCTCCAATTCCACACATCCACATAGAGCTCCTTTCACGCCCCCCACTGAGCTTCCTAGAGTTCACTGAGGTAGCCCCATAGGTCTGCTTCTACCCTGCATCTGCCTACAGCCTGTTCCCAAACTAGTAGCCAGAGCAATCATTTTACATCCCATCCAGCCTCCGTATCTCACTTCAGCTTACAGAAATGCAGGGGACAGAGGAGCCTGCTAACAGAAGGAAGTGACCAGCCAAATCCAGAATGCAGGAAACTCCATCTTGAAGCACCCAAGGGGTCTCCAATATATAAATGGGGGGAAGGGAGGTAAGACTTAAGGGACAGGTCAGGCAGACAGATGCAGCGGATACACCCTGCCTTCCCATCCTGAGTCCATAACCCACCTAGAATATAATTAGATGTCAACGGGAACATGCGCTGGGAATTAAATGTTTGGGGATTACTATTCATGCTCAATACACATAAACATGCTCAGAGTGCATGGTCAGTATTTACTAAATCAAATTTTTGATAAAACTAAAAGCCTAAAATTTGAATAAGGCCAGTCTCTGAAAGGAGGTAAAGGTACGGTAATAAAACTTGCCCCACGGAGTTGTCAACATTGAATAAACTAGTGATGTGCACATGTGCAGAGTACAATGTGATGGAGCAATGGATGCATCCCTGTTCCACCAAGATGCTCACTGCCCTCATTGTACCAGAGGTAAGGGATCTCCAGCCACTTGTGGGCAGCCACACAGCCCTGGGGAAGATCCCCAGGACCTCGGATGGGGAGAAAGCAGCACAGCTGGGGCTGGGCTCAGACCAGAGGGCCCATGCCCATCTGAGAGCTGGGCCAGACCAACCAGGAGGACCTCCCCATTAGCTAGCATCCCCCCAACCCCATTTCTGCCCCCTTCCCCTGGTCCCCAAGACCCCCTTTATGACTGCTCAGAGTCCTCACCCATTAGGCAAAATCTCCAAATGGGACACATGGACCCCAAGTTAGGGAAGGGATGGCTCCACGCCCAGCCAGCATGCCTCCATCCACCCCCACCCCCACCCATTTCCTGCCCCCAGAGCCTCCACCTCCAGTGCCCCCATCTAAGCTCCACCCTCCCTCCTAGCATGTGGCCTCTTCACCACATTCCCACCTCCGAGGTGCTCTTGGCAGACAGACCACAAGCTGAGGGCCTCCATTTCACACAAAAGCTAAGTTGGCAGGGACATGGAGTGAAAAGCCCTTGAGGAATCTCCTGTGGTCCACACACAGTGGTGGTTGGGTGAACAGGTCCCTGGCTACCATCGCTAGTGCAGGAGGCCAGGGAGGGTAGCTGGGGGCATTCAAACGCCTCGGCCAAACACACCACAGGTCCCCGGGGAGCAAACAAGGCCACGTGTTAGAGACTTGGCTCAGGGCCTTGCACCACCAGCACCCACTGGCAGCAAGCCAAGGCAGCTGCTTATTACATGACCTGTCCTTCCCGTGCCCTGTCCCTGGGGAGCCCCCCCCCCCGAAGAAGATGCCTCCTGGAGTCACCTGTAGGCCCCAGAATACTCTTCCAGGAAAGGATATTCCCAAAATAAATTCCAGTTTGGCGTCTCTGGGCCTGGCCTACCAGGGCTTTCCAGGTTTGAAGGTCAAATGCACTAGGGTCTCTCTCAGGCCCCAGCGGCCACCCCTTCATCTGAATGGCAGAGATGCCACACCCCCCTGAGCCCAGTGTGTAGGTCCAGGGCTGCAGAGGGAGGCTACTGCCTCCAGGGTCCGCACCCCTAAGGCAATGGTCCCCTAAAGAGCACAGGAGAGCCACCTCAGCCTCTCTCCTCCAGAAATCCCCACCTCCACCTCCCACTGCACCGCCCCCCCGAGGCCTGAGCCCCGCTCAAGGAACCCAGGGATCCGACGGAATTTCTGGGTTCAGGGGTCTGACCTTGGATCTTCAGCCCTGCGTAGGCTGCTGGGACAGGGGCCTGACAGACCAAGGGGCCGATCCAACGCCACCTGCCTTTATTCACTGGTCCTTGGGCTCCAGTCACAGACACTTGGCTTTTAGAGGACACAGGAAGAAAAGGGGACCCTGGTGACCGTCCCAGCACATGGTACAGGGCCAGGGTCGACCTCATGCCCCTGCCCGAGGGGACTGCTGTGGCCACAGGGCCGCAGACAGCAAGGGGCTAGGCCTGGCTGCCCAAGACCCTTTATGAGGGAGTGCTCGGTGGCATCCCAGGCCTGGAGAGCTAGTGCCATCCCGAAGCTGATGCAGGGGAGGAAGGGGCCAGGCTGGACAGCGGGGTGAAAAATTAGACGCTCCCCAAGGTGTCCAGCCCAGAAAAGCAGCGGGGCTTGGTGGGGGATACACAACAGGTATGGGAGGGGCCGCCTGCCTCCTGCCTCCTGGCCACCTCACGGACAAGCCCAATCCCACCAGCCTGGGAGACAGCAGAGGCCCCCTTGTTTCCCTCCTGACCTTGGAAGTGGCTGGGGGGGCAGTCAGGGGGTGGGGGCAATGGAAGGTGGTGGGAAGTGGAGAGGAGTCAGTCAAGGCCCTGGGGTGAGGGCAGGCAGAGCAGGCGCTCCAGAGATGCAACTCCGGGGGGAGCAGGGGCTGGTAGGGCCCAAACCCCCCTACCCCCAGTGACAGGGCAGCTTGAGACCCCCTGAAAAGAAAGGAGGGGGCTCGGGGAGGAAGGGCAGGCATTGGCCATCAATCATGCCCCTCCTGGTCCTGGGGTTTACAGCCCCTCCCTCCCTCCACCCCCCCCCCCCCAGGACCGAACCCGCAGGAGACCAACATCAGGCGGCGCCCGGGTCTCCCAGAGGCCAGGGGAGGGACACCGCACGCTTCAGGACTTCTTGGCGTCCGGCGTGTTCCGGCGCTTCAGGTCACTCAGGTCGATGGGCTTGAAGGCTGTCGGGACAGAGCGCTCAGCGGTGGCATGGACGGAGAGGCAAGATCTGGGCCCCCCATCCTGTACCTGCCCCTGGAAGCCCTGGGACCTGGTCCACTCTGCCACACTGCCTTCCAGCCTCCCCCCAGCACAGCCCCCCGCCAGCCCCTCCCTCCTAGGCCATCTCCTCTACTCACTCTTCAGACTGGGGTTAGGGACCTTCTCCACGTACTCCTCCACCAGGCCCCGCTCGCTGCCTGACATCTGGCTCCGCAGATCTCGCTCCACGCCCTGCCAGGCTGCGAAAAACAAGGGGGTGGCGTCAGAGCCCCCAGCATGGCTGGGTAGTCCGGCAGAATCTGAGTGATCAGTGCCCTCATCCCTCCCCAGCCCTCAGAGCATCCTGGTAGCCCCTCCCCCAGCCCCCAGCCCCCTCCTTCACGGCTTTCAGCCCCCACCTGGCCTGCTCTTGACCTGAGATTGTCTTCAGAGCACCCCATCTCTGCTCTCTGCCCCCCTGACTTGGCTCTTAGCAGGCCTGTCATTGTCTGCACCATGACTAGGGCTGCACTCACAGAGACACGTGGGACCCATCAGCTCTCGATCCTCCGCTCAGGCGCCCCCCCCTTTCCCACCTCCGGGCACACGTGTCACTCACGGACACGGGTGCACGCGTGCTCACGCACCCCGGCCACACCACTTCTCGACACGCCCGGGTCCTCCTGGAGCGCACCACCGTCCCGTCTTCCACAGCGGTTCCCTCCCGGGAGTCAACCTGACCCGCTCCGATACTTCCTCCCCTCGGAGCTGCCTGCCCCCCATAACCAGAACTGGGCCTCCTCACCAGACACGGCCCCTAAAGGCGGGGGGAGAGCCTACACCCTGGAACGGCAGGAGGGGGGCTCCAGGGAGTTTCTCGGAGCCCCAGTCCTGGCTGGGGGTGCCCCACGTACCCTCGTAAATGAAGCGCACATTCTCCTCATGGGCCGGGGTGAAGATCTCACTGCTGCTGGGGGGAGAGCGAGGGCTACTGTTCCTCTTGCCGTTGTAGACGACTCTGGAGACAGGAGAACTGGGGGAGGGGCAACATGTAAGGAGGGGATGGGGACAGAGCGGGGCCCACCCCCTGCCCCCCGGGGGAGGCCACTCCACTGCCTAAGACCCACCTGGTCATTGCGGGAGTGTCTGGTCCTTGCGCTCCACTGGCGGGTCCCCTCGGCCTCTAAAAGGGAAGCCCAGACCCTGGGAGTGGGACAGAGTCACCCTCTCCATGGGGGCTTCAGAGTGGGAAGGGGCGTGGGGCCCACCTTCTCCCTCAAGCTGACGCCAAACTGCTGCGGGCTCATTGCCTACTGGGGATCCCCTCGGGGGTGAGGCCCAGCCACAATCCAGGCAGAGTCAACCAGATGGAGGTTGGGGGCCAGCAACCTGCCCCTGAACTCAGAGCACCTTCATTCCAGGCAGCCCCCAGCCCCTGGACCACCGCCACCCAGGGAGCCCCTTCCCCCCCAGTCAGGTGGCTTGGGATGGCACCACAGCAGTGCCCAGATTCCCTTTCCAGGGTCATGGCACACCTCTCAGGCAAGTCTGGGTCTGCAGGGGAGAGCTGCAGCGCCCCAGTGACCCCTGACTCTGCCCTCCCTGCCTGCAGGGCCTGGCGTGCTGTCTCCGCTGAGCCTGGTTCCCATCTGTAAAACAGGGACGGGCTTCGTGGTGAGGAGCCCAAAAGAGCATGAGGCCCAGGGGGTGCAGGGAACCTGCCCAGCTTCCTGGTCCCGGAGGCCAGGGCACAAGCGAGTCAGGGCCCTGGATAGGACTCAACAGGGCAGGAGGCTAGAGGGAAAGTGTGAGCCTACAAGAAGCTCCTGGGTCTGACCCAGGCACCAAGACCCCAGGGTGCTGCCTGTTACAGCCTCTCTGTCAGCTCAGATTTTATAGCCGTGGGGGCAGAGGGGGGGCAGTATTTTTTTTCTTTTTAAGATTTTATTTATTTATTTGTCAGAGAGCACAAGCAGGGTGGGTGGCAGGCAGAGGGAGAGGGAAAAGCAGGCTCCCCTCTAAGCAGGGAGCCTGATGCAGGGCTCGATCCCAGGACTCTGGGATCATGACCTGACCCAAAGGCAGATGCATAAAAACGGAGCCACCCAGGCGTCCTGGGGGTTGGTATTTTTAGGCTCAGTCTCAAACTAGCTAGGGAACGCTGTCCCCTCTCTCTGGCTGACAACAGAGCACAGAGTAAGGAAGCCACCTACACAGGGCCAGTCCCAGGCCTGGCCCCAGAACAGATGACCCCAGGTACCGGGGGCAGTGGGAGGGAGGTCTTGAGCACAAGAGCCTCTGCCCCCCCTCCCTCCTGGAGCCCAGAGCATGGAGATGCAGCCCTTCCCAGAGGGCCAGAAGGGTGGGCTGCTGTGGATCCTTGCTCTCTGGTTTATTCAGTCATATCATCAAGGATCCAGCCTTTGAACACCTGCACAAATAAACACAAGCCCAGGGAGCAAGACAAGAAGCACAAAAGAGCATAAAACCAGCTTCCTGGAGGACACACAGCAGCCCATGTCCCACCCCACCCCACCCTGCAGAAGCCCAGCCCCTCACAAAGGGACCTCTCCTTCCTTGGACTCAGGGGTCTCACTGCCCATGGTCCTCTTTCCCAGACATCAGCCCCCCGAACACTCAAGCAGAGGGAAAGCCCTCTCTGGCCTAAGGACACCCTGGGACACTCAAGGGGCTGTCAGCAGTGGGACAACGTGGAAAGCTCCAGTTATGTGACACATGACAGGATGGAGGGACCAGGAGGACCGGCCAGCCCTTGCCTGCCCTCAGCCAGGCCTGCCTCTCCTCCTGCCCAGGTGCTCTTAGTCCTCCTGCAGTTTGTCCTCCTCAATCCAGAGGCCCCTGCTGCAGGGCACCTGCCCTCCCCACCTCACCTGCCCTGCTGTGGGCCTCTCCCCGCAGGGCAGCCTCTGGGGATCACCTGGCCTTTGTGGGCATGTGGCCTCATCTTAGGGTCCCCTACTCATCCTCTCCAGCTAACTCAGGTGTTCACCCCTTCTCGGCTCCTGTCACCCTACCTGCACACACATGGACACCTCACCTGCTCCTCTCTGTCTCTGCAGACCCAAGGCCTAACCTGGGCTGGCCCCAGAGTAGCCAGCCTGCAGGAGCTGTGCCTGTGACCTGAGCCCCGGGCCCACAGAGCACTCGGTCCCCACACTGAGGACCCAGCCCCGCTGCCCATTGGGCTTCCTGCCTAAACCAGCAGCATGATGAAGTCCCTGTCCCAGGCCTGTACATTTATCAACAAAGGCCCTCCCGTATGGACATCCCACTTCAGTTCAGGTTTCTGGTACCCTGGACAAACTGGACAGGGAAGCGCCTTCACATCACACATTCAGCAGCTTTTCACAGGCTGGAGGCTTGAAGAACAAATAAAATGACATTTTAAAAAAGAGCCACCTTCTGCCTCCTTTCCCAGCCACAGATCACAGCCCACCAGGCTGACTGCTATAGCCTGTGTCCCACCAACCTGTCTTCCCAGACCGGAGAAACCCCTGCGCCCTCCCAGCCCTCCCGCCAGCTCAGCCTGCCTTCCCTGGGCCTTTATCGCCAACATCTTGTACTGGCCCCACCGCCCCCAGACCCCACCACCTGGCAGGACTCAGCGGCAGCAGGAAGCTTCTCCTGGAGAAGAAGCCTCCTGAGAGGCCAGAGGCCTGCTGCTCGACAGAAGGGACAGTGACCTGCCATTCACTCACTCTCCTCACCTCCTATGGTGATTGGGCCTCCAATCCTGATGCCAAAAAAAGTTTCCATCAAAAAAAGCAATCAATATGCACCCCCTGACAGTGACAGCCCTCCCAGTCCTGGGTATGTGCCCGAGACAAGGGCCATGCAGCCGCTGGGAGGGGCACGGGAGCGGCCAGAGAAGCACCCAAAGGAAGAGCCACTAAAGAAAGGGGTGTATGTCGAGCCCGCTCCTGCCACTGAAGACGACTCAGGTGGGAGCCGGAACCACAGCAAGCACAGGCAAATCACAGCACTGAGGCTGAGCAAAAGGAACTGACCCAAAAGGACAGAAGATGGAAGCCTGGGGACACGAGCCCACTGGGAGCAACCCCCAGCAGAGGGCCAACCACAGAGGCTCCGACAGGAGAAATCTAAGGGGACAGCTGGAGTACAACCTGGACCTAAGCGACCACTGGACCAGCATGACAATATCTCCACTGACCTCGGCAGGAAGGGTCTCAGTGGAGTAAGGCGAGGAAGTGGGCAGTCAGCCAAGGTCTGCGTGTCCGTGAGGAGCAGCTATGAAGGGAGGCATGAGGCCGGGCTGACCACGGGGCATGTCTGCTGAAGCAGAGGGACATCTGAGCGTGTTTACCGCTGGAGGAAAGTGCTGAGCAGGGCCACGAAAGAGGCAGGTGTGGAGGGGCCAGGTGACCAGAGTGCTGGGGAGAGTAGCATGGGCCTGGAGGAGTGCCAAGGACACCTAGCAAGACAGGCCGAGCCATGGAGGATCATGGAGCCCCAGTCCAGCAGGATGGGGACCTGGTGCACAGATGAGGGGCAGGGGCAGCAGCCTAGCGGAGAGCAGGCCGGAGGCCCCAGTCAGAGAGTACTTGGCCTTCACCGCTTCCTAAACCACCTCCCTCCTTCCCATTTGCTTTCCCTCTTCTGCTCACAAGGACTAGAGGCACAATTATTCCCCCAGCTCTGGGGCACCTGGATGGCTCAGTTGTTAAGCGTCTGCCTTCGGCTCAGGTCATGATCCCAGGACCCGCATCGGGCTCCCTGCTCAGCGAGAAGCCTGCTTCTCCCTCTCCCACTCCCCCTGCTTGTGTTCCCTCTCTGTCTTTCTCTCTGTCAAATAAATAAATAAAATCGTAAAAAAAAAAAAAAAAAGTAATAGGATCACATCTGGCAATTACCAGCACGTTGATGTTTGCAGCATCCTTCCAGTCTTGGTGACCATGATGTGAAGGGCAGCTCAGTCACTGGTGTCTCAGATCTAATGACGCAACGATGGTCTCCCCTCAGCCCATGATCCCACCATCGGCAAGCCCAGGGCCATCCTTCCCGAGCCTCCGGTGTGCTCTCCAGCTACCTCTTCCCATTTCCAGCCACCCCCTGTCTGACCACCATCCCCCCAACAACAGCAGAGCCTCCTGCACCATTCCCCCTACCCCAGTCCTGACACCCCTCCCCAAGTAATTCCCCCGCTCTGCACACCCTGGACCCTCTAATGCAATCAAGCCCTCGGCCTGGCCCAATCTATTCCTTCAGATGTGTCTGACTGCTGGGCTGCAGCCCACCCCCAAACATAGTCTCTGAATCAGAACCACCTGTGCCAGCTGCTATCACCACAGAGAACCACTCGCTGCCCCCGCGCTGTGCACTCTGCAGGGCTTGACCCTTGTCCACGGCTATCGAGCTCACGGCAACTGGTGGCTATGTGCTAGGCACACGGCAGGGTCCAGAACCATTCTGTGGCTGGAGGTCATCCATCCTTGCTCTGCTGCCCCCAGGGAAATCCCTTCCCTCTCTGGGCCTCAGAGTACTCATCTAAGCCAAAGCTGCCCCCAAGGATGTTCACTGGGCACTTCTGGGAGAAGCACGGTCTAGGACAGTGCTGGGCACCCCAAATGCAGAGGCAGCCCATTCACAGGGAGGTGGAGGCCCAGGAATGTCCAGGACATGTGAAAAGGCAGCAGTGCCACCAGCCACAGCAAGGAGTCGCCACCCAGCAAAGGAGGGTCTGAACCCCCAGTGACTCCCAGGATCTGGGCCTCCAGGGCCACAGCAGGCAGGGCCAGGCCCAGACAGCTCAGCTGACCCGAGCACCCCAGAGCCCGCCGATGCCCTTCCTGGCACCCCTTGGCAGGTCCCTGGACAGCCCTGACATCAATGCGGTTCTGCTCAGAGACAAGGAGGGAGTCTCTCGAGATGGATAAGGTTTGTACCTTGCTCTTGCACGGGAACCGAGGACCTTCCAAGACCTCCTGGGGGGAGGCAGGGCATGGGAGGACCCGGAGCCCAGCCGTCAGTCCCCCAGTCTCAGACTCTTTCCCAACACACAGCCATATGCCTAAGAACAGGAGAGGAAAGGACACTCTGTTGTTCAGAAAAGTGACAATGAGTATTCTGGAGTTAGAATCAGTGATGCAAATGGTGGTCGTTCTGTGTTCCTTTGGAATTTCTGATACTCATGTTTTCTTAGATTCCACTTTCCCATGATACTCTGTGTCTTTGCGGTACTCAACAGTTTCAGCCATTAAGACTTCTAGAAAATAATCTACTATCCAAGCAGGTACCAGAATACTGCTGTACTGGATACCCAACAGGGGCATTCCCCTGAAGACCCCCGGGGCAAAACCTCCAAGTGCCGCACCCTCGCCCTCCTTCCTGCAGCTCCCATCCCAAGCAACAGCCCTGAGTGCACGCACCCACCACCACCTGGCCCAGAAACCTCACCCCAAATCAAGCTTACGTCCTGCCGGACATGGCTCCTGTCCTCCTCCCCACCCCCACTCCTCTCTAAAAGCTCTCTACCCAGAACTCCCTCGCTGTTCCCCACTGCCCACTCGGGGGCCCTTGCTCAAGGCGTCCCCTCCGCCCAATAAGATCTTACTCATCCTTGAGATTCGACTAAAAGACCGCCTTTTCTTGAAAGCCTACCTGGGGCTGGCCCGAGGACAGGATGTGTACACCTCCATACCCCCTGAGCTTTGCCACAACCCAGGTTGTTTTTGTAATTCGAAACCGCGCGCGCGCACACACACACGCGCGCACACACACACACACACGGCCTCCACCCCATCGGCCCTGCACTCCTTGGTGGCACTCTGTCCACCACCGACGGCGGCAGCCCCCGTGGGCGGAATCAGGTCCTGCAGCCCAGTGAGCCAGCTCCCTGAGGGCGGGCCCATCGTACCCCCTTTCCACCCTGCACCTAGCCCCGCACCACCTGGCCTGCGGAGGCCGGGACTGTGGGAAAGGCTGCATAACGGAAAGAAGGACAAACCGCGGGGGAGCCTGGCCAGCTGCGCCCCAAGAGCCAAGCAGCAGCCCCAGGAATGTTCCCTTTGGAAAGCGGGGAACGCAGGACGTTTGTCCACCTCGGCGGCGGCTGCTCCAGAGACTGAAAAGGGCGGGCCCCCGGTTGCTCCTTCCGAGCCCAACTCCCGGGGGATAGGCGGCGCCCGGCCCCCAGACCCGGCGCGGACCGGCCCCGCCACGGCCCCTCCTCGCCGCGCCCTCCGCGGCGGGATGCGCGCCCCCCCGCAGGCCCAGGGGCTCGGGCGCAGCGGACCACACGGGTCGCACGCCCCCGGCCCTCCGCGACCCCGCCCCGGCCCTCCCCTCGCCAGCCGCCGCGCCAGGGCGGATCCCGGCCGCGCCCGCCCCGCCCCCGCGCCCGCCCCCGCCCCGCGCCCGCCCCCGCCCCGCGCCCGCCTCACCTCGCCCGCTCGGCCACCGCCGCCGCCGCCAGCTGGGGCCCGGCCGGAAGTGACGTCACCGCAGCGTGCGCAGGCGCGGGGAGCGTGAGGGCCACGTGACGGCCGGCGCGCGCATGGCGGCGGGGGCGGGGCCGCGGGGCCGCGGGGCGGGGCCTGAGGCCGGGGGCTGGGTTACGGTGCCGGCGCACCCGGTTGCGCTGGGCCGGCGTGACGCGGAGTGGGGCGTGGACCGGGCCGGCGGAGTCTGAGGAGCCCGGGGGCAGGGGACGCGGGGGCAGCGGGATGGGGTCCGGAAGCGGCGGTGTCTGGGGCTGCGGAGCCCCGGGGAGCGCAGCTGAGGGGCTGGGGACGGCGGGGTCCTGGGGGTCCGGGGCTGGCGCGGTCGGAGACCTCAGAGCCGGGAGCCCCGAGACTCTGGCTCCCTGCGCTGGCGCTGTCTCCTGGTCCCCCAAGCCTGGCATGGATAGCAGGGCCTGCTGACCACCGGAAGCGGGGGAACTGGGAGGGTCCCGTCCCCGGTAATCAGGCTACCACCAGGGGCTAGGGAATGACGTTTATTGAAAAAGTAAAAAGTGTCACAATAAAAAATTCACCTGGAGAAAAAGCCAGGCCAGAAGTGTGGGGGTGGGGGTTGCGCCCAGGTACGGGGGTCCTGGCTGCCTGCCTGCCCTACCGGTGGGGCAGGTCCAAGCACCTGGGGAGGTGGGCACCCAACTACTCTAGGGAGGGCCAGAGCCCTGGCAGGGCAGGGCTGGGCTCAGTCCATCTTGGTCCCTTGGAAGAGCTCCACCAGGTCCTTGAAGTCTGGGTCGATGAGGTCTGAGGGCAGGTCTCCATCGTTGTTGGCTGCGTCTCTGTCTGCCCCCAGGGAAATGAGGTACCTGGGGTGCAAAGGTTGGCAGTGGGGAGGTGGCCCGGAGGGTGCTCTCACCCCATCCCCAGGGTCGCAGGCTGGAGTCCTGAGGTACACGTTTTTTAAAATTTTTCCAGGAGGGGTGAAGAGGAGGAAACCTGACCCTCCAGAAACAATGGCTGACTTTTCCAGTTTGCTCTAGGGAAGAGGGCAGAAAGGAGATTCTAGAAGCTCTTAGGGTTCTTTCTTAGCTGTACTCCCAGGGCCATCTTTTCGAGACCACATCCTGGAGGCCACTTGAGGCCAGAGCATTTTGGACGAAGCCCCTGGCCTAAGCCTCTCACCTGGCTATGTCTGGGTATCCATCACTGCAGGCGATGTGCAGGGGTGTCCACCCAGTCTCATCCCGCTGGTGGATGTCAGCCCCGTACCTGACCAGCAGCTTCACACACTCCAGGTTTCCAGAGAGCACAGCCTCGTGCAGGGCGGCCAGGCCTGCGCAGGGCAAGGCAGAGCAGGGCAGGAGGGGTCAAGGCTGAGACCTTCCCCTGACCCCGTAGACACTGCGCTGGCCCCACAGGCACTCACCTGAGGGGTGGATGGTGTCCAGGGCGACTTTCCGAGCCCGGATAAAGCGGCCTACCTGCTCCAGATCCCCTTGGCGGATGTGGTCTAAGAACAGGACGTCGTTGGGGAAGCGCACGCTGCGATGGGCTAGCAGCCGCCTGCGCCGTTGCCGTGGGCTGTATCGGGCATAGCGGCTGGTCCTGCTGGGCATCCGGGGTGCTGTGGCGGGTCCACCTTGTGGGGACCCTGCTGCTCGGGGAAGGGACGTGTCCGGCTCGGCTCGGACAGCGCATGCAGTCTCCTCCAGCGCCGGCGCCGCCCCTGTGCTCCCTGTGACCGGGCACTTGCCCTTTATATAGGACCCGCGGCACTCTATAAAGCTGTACAGTCATGCTCCTGCCGGGAGGGGTGAAACGGAGCAGCTCCGGCCCTGTGCTCAGGATCATGTTTAGTGGCTCATCTTTCAGCCCACCTGTCGCTGTGCCCCGGCCAAAGGGGTCAGATCCTTCCCGGCCACTGCTGTCTGCCCCACAGCTGGGCCTAGAAGGTGCCTTATAGAGGGTAGGAGAAGGCACTAGAAGGACAGGACCCCTGAGGAAGGCGAGTGGGTGCCAAGGTCGTGGGGAGGGCCCAGGCATCTCCCCAAGGCCTGGAAACTCAGGGAAAAGGCCACGATGTCTGGTGAGGGTGGCTGCTTCCACCTCCTGGAAAGCAAGGGGGCTTCCCACAGCGGAGGAGGCACAGGGCCCTGACGATTGCCAGAGAAGGCCCCGCCCTGCCCGTATCCCTCCCGGTCACTTGTCACCTTCTGTCGGGCCTGCGCCACTCTGCCCTCCTCCTCAGAAACTTCCCAGGTTAGGATCTAAATAAATGCCTCCGGTCCCACCTGCCCAGCCCACGCTGCCCACCAGGAAGCCCTCCCCACAATGCCCCTGTTTCCCTCCAGCCCCATGTCCCCACCCCCCACCCTTCCCCTGCTTGCAGGCTCCTGCCACTTTCTGCCAAGGGCACACGTGCTCCCACTTAAGAGAGCATCCAGTCTGCTCCCCCGATGGGCCATCATATCCCGTGGGGTGCGCTCTGCTGGCCCAGACGCCTGCAAGAGCGTAACCAGTGGGTGCTACGGAGATGCCCGGCAGGCTGAGCCAGCAGCTGCTGCCTCCCCGCTGTAGCCACCGTCTGGAGGCGGCTTTGGCTTCAGTGGAGAGAAGAGGCAGGAGACATGGGCACGCACACCCAGGAGCATGCCCGCGGGGTCGGGGACAGCCCCCGCAGCACATGTTAGGGCTGGTGTTACAAAGTACCAGACTGGGGACTTAAACAAACTTAATTTTCTTGTGGTTCTAGAGGCCACAAGTCCAAGATCACGGTGTCAGCCGCTTGGTTCCTTCGGAGGGAGAATCTGTTCCAGGCCCGTGTCCTGGCTTCTGGTGGTGGTCCTTGGTGTTCTCTGGCTTGTAGACACATCGCCCCATCTCAGCCTTCACGTCCACATGGCCTTCTCCCCGCGTGCATGTCTGTGTCCAAATTTCCCCTATTATAAGGACACCAGTCATCAGATTAGGGTCTCCCTATGGCAGCATGACCGCATCCTGACTGATCACATCTGTGACCACTGTATTTCCAAATAGGATCACGGTCTGAGATTCTGGGGGTTAACACCTCAACACAGGAATATTGGAGGGATGCAGTTCAACCCGTGACATTGGTGAGATCCCCTGGGTTGTGACCCAAGTCCTGAACGAGGACACAGCCCAGATTGACGGGCACTTGACGGGCACTGGGAGGGGCAGGCAGCCTGCTTACCGGCAGCCTTTCGTCACCGGGCTGGTTTTGATCCAGCAAAACCGAATCACCAAATGTATTTAACACCCTCTAGGTGCAAAGCCTTGGGCCAAATGCTGTGGAGAAACAGGGCACTAAGACAGACTCCCTGCCCTGAGAAGGGTTCCCCAGCCTGCCTCAGAGCCCCCACCTGCTGCTGGCCAGTCCAGCCCCACAGGAACCCCCCTCCCAGCCCAGGCCCTGCCAGGGCCCCCATACAGGGCTGGTGCCCAGTGTCCCTGTACTCCAGGGCTCAGAGGGTGGTGCCAGGTGATCTTAACTCCTGGTCACTTGGGAGGAGTCAGTGTAGCTTCTTCTGGCTGGTTTCCAGGAGACAGAACTTTCCTTTGATGAGAAGATTGCCTATTCTGGTATCATGGGAAGTTCTGTCTGCCCTCCCAGAACCCTGGATGAGGCTGCCAAGGGTGCAGCCCTTCCCGAGAGTGACCTGGCTTTGGGCTAGAGACAGGCCAAGCGCCAGGCAACCCCAATGACACACCCCTTGGTCCATCTGACTAAGGTGAGCTGAGAGCTTGGGGGTTTGTGGGTTTGGCGTTTCCATTTGGATCAGAGAAGGGACGGGTGCCCAGAGCCCCCCTGCAGTCACAACAGATCCCCTGAAAGGTACTTAATGTGCTTTTTATTCTAGCGAGGACATGGGACTATCCTCTAAACCACGGGCATGACCTGAGGCATCTCATTTGGAAACCTCGTCAGAAGCAGGGGTGAGCATCTGACCTGAGATTGTTCGCAAAGTCTATCTCTCATGCGACCACAGTGGAACCAAACCTGTATTGATCCAGCTTGGTCCCTGACGCCCACGTGGACTTGTGGAGTGACCTGGTTTGTACAATGTTGGGCTTCTGCCTTCTAGAGGACTAAAGCAAACTAAGACAAGGAATCCAAAAAGCTCACTCTGAAAAGTCCAAGGAACACAACTAGTCAGGCTTTGCATCCAGCAGAAGCCAGGAGCTGGAGGGCCCGTTAGGAGAATGGGTGCAGGCCCACAGCAGGCCCCTTCCCTGCCAGCAGGCTTTGAGGCCGGAGGACCTCCAGGGGCTAGTGCACTTCCGGGACCGAAGCTTCTAAGCACCTGGAGAGAGCAGAAGAGAAGGAGGGAGGGGGAGAGGAAGACAGGGAGGTTTGGGATGTCCCGGGCTGTTAAGCCTTAACTGACCACCCTGAGCGTGCAAAGTTGCCTGCTAATCCACCAGCCCTGCTAGGTTTTGGACTCCACCCCACAGCCTCCCAGCAGATCCAGGCCCTGGAATGTGCTAATCAGCTGCCTCTGGAAAAGAGGGAAGGTATGGGTGACTCACTGCGCACCCCCCTGGAACACATGACGACAGTGCTGGGCAGCTGCACCTGGTCCCCGCTCTCTGGGTCCTCAGGGTCACCCACACCCGTCGCTGGGGCAGAGAGCACAGGATTGGACTCAGCCTCCCACCCCAGCTGTGACTCCTGATGGCCTTGCTCTGTGCTGGTTTCCTCCGCGGGAGTCCGTGTGTCCCCCTGGGGGAACAGCTCACATTTTGGAGGGCAGGGCTGCCATCCTCCTCCTACAGAAGCTCAAGTGCCCAAGCTCACCTTGCCTTGGAGACGTGTCTCATTGTGTTGGCACCACACGCATGAACCCTGCGCCAGCACAGGCCACCCAAGGACCAGGGCCGCTGGGCTGGAGGAGGGGCAGAGGGCCTGGCTGGCGTCGCCCGGGGTGCTCATGCTGGGTCCTCCAGGCACACTGGCTGTGGACCGCTCACCTGGGCTGCCGGCAGCAGGGAGGGCAAGGGCAGGCACCTGGGCCTCTGGCTGGGAGAGGACACTGGGAGAACCACGTTCCTAGCACATCTTCTGGGCGTGTCTCCCGCTGCGCACCGGCCCCGGGAAGCCCCTACCGGTTCATGGGCATCAGAGCTGGGGGGCCGGGGATCGAGCAATGCGTGTGTCCTTCCTACTCTGGGGGCAAGTCGGGGCTGGAGGGTTTGGTGGGACTCGTGCAGTGGCAGGCAGGGCTCCTTGGAAACCTAGGTTTGTGCACTCTGTCCTTGACCTAAGGTGGACTGTATGTCCATGTCCATTCCCTCCCAGGATGTCAGCCGGCAGCCCTCCGGTCCCACCTGCCACTGTAGACATGCTCAGAGACCAAGGGATGCAAAGCCCCAGGTGGCGATGGTCGGGCAACCACGGGAGTCCTGCCAGCCCCCGTGCGGGGCTCCTGTCCTGCTCTCAAGGGACCGACAGGTGCCGCCAAGCTCCCCAGGGCCCCCAGGAGTCACCAAGTCAGGCTCACAAGTGCCGTCTGCCCAGCCCGGCAGCTAGACTTCCTGTCTGTAGGAAAACCAATTCCAATGGTTCTTTTCTCAGCGTGAACTACAAGCAAGCTGAGGTTCTAGAAATCAAATTACATTTTATTTTGTTGTTTTTAAAAGATTTTATTTGACAGAGAGAGAAGCGAGAGAGGGAACACAAGCAGGGGGAGTGGGAGAGGGAGAAGCGGGCTTCCCGCGGAGCAGGGAGCCCGATGCGGGGCTCGATCCCAGGACCCCGGGATCATGGCCTGAGCCGAAGGCAGACACGTAACAATTGAGCCACCCAGGTGCCCTTGACTTTCATTTTCTTTCCTTTATTTTTTTTAAGTACTCTATCTTATTTTTAATTTTTTTTTAAGATTTTATTTATTTATTTGACAGAGAGAGACCCAGCGAGAGAGGAAACACAAACAGGGGGAGTGGGAGAGGGAGAAGCGGGCTTCCCGCAGAGCAGGGAGCCCGATTTGGGGCTCGATCCCAGGACCCTGGGACCATGACCTGAGCCGAAGGCAGACGCCCAACGACTGAGCCTCCCAGGCGCCCCTCAAATTACATCTTATAACCTGTGATGTAACATGTGACCCTGATTTGTGCAGGCTCGGCGGTAAGCGTAGCAATGCTATCAATTCACCCATTCCTGAGCTCACACTGCCAATTTCTCGTCAGGCCCTGCGGTGGCAGGAAGACAGGGCAGGGCGCTGGCGGGGGGGGGCTCCACGGGGGACCACGTGTCCCGATGCAGCGTGGAGCAGCACCCAGGTAGTGGCCACTACATGCCCCGGGACGGCACCGGGACATCCATCCCCATCCAGCCGAAGCAGCCCGGCCGTGTGCGCCTGGTGACCCGTGACACGCTTGTGGCTCCCGTGGAAGCACCACGATCCAAGGTGCCCCGACTAGGAGAGGCCTGAGCCCAGCCCATTCCCCGTGGCCCAGAGAGCTTGTACAGCAGAGACAACAAGAGGTAGTAAAATTTCAACTTTATTTGGCCAATGTGTTCAATTCCAATATCGTGGTAGAAATGGCTGAAGAACAGCCCACACGTGGTTCGGCTCAAGCACCCTTGGCCGTTTCCCAGCCTGGAAATGGAGGGTTCTGGTTCTGCCTGCTGCAGGCCTCAGGGGCGCTGGAAGTCACAGAGCACCGGGGAGCCTGGCTCGGGAGGCAGGGGAGCTGCCCGGGTCTGTCCTGGGCTCAGCCGGCACCCACCACCCCCTGCAGTCGTACAAGGCCCCCTGCGACGGAGACCCCGTGTCTCCGTTTAGGCCAACAACGTGAGACCCACGCTCCGTCACGGCGACACCGGCATGAGGTGAGAGGGACCCGTCCAGCCTGGCCTGGCCCCGCCCCACGCAGGGGACAGGAGTCTCCAGGGAGACCCTGACGTCCAAAAATGTCTCAAAATCCCACAGATGGAATTTTTTAAAGTGATAGTATAAACCTAACAGGAAGGAGACTTCACCTGCATGAGATTCCAAGACATTTTAACGAGCGCTTTGGACAAAACCGTGTACGAAAAAGTACATCACAATTTAAAAAAAAAATCGGCCCCCCAAGGTGAGCTGGCCTGGAGAGAAATCCCTTTCCAAAAATTGAAAAGCAGAAGTAAGAGATGGGTCTAAATTTACACGTGTTAGGATGAAGTGTTGCTTCAGAAAAATTCCCTGCATTTCCGGTCGGTGTTCCCTCCTGCCCGTGAGGGTCCCTGGGCTCCTGGAGGCCACGCTGCTGGGGCACGCCGCCCACGGGGCTGTTGCGTCTGGGGCACCCAGGTCACAGCTCATCTCTCACAGCTTTCTGATCCTCCTCCTCCTCCAGGTCAGGCTCTTCTGCTTCTTCCAGATCTTCCAGATCCTGGGGTGGGGGAGGGAGGACACGAAGAAACCCGTCAGGAAGGGCTGTGCAGGGGTGTGGTCGGGCCGGTGGCACAGCCCGCCCCGTCGCCCACACCCTGCACGGCAGGACCCAGCCGGCCATTCGGACAGGTCTCTAAGAGCCGATGAGCAGGGGAGCTTCTGCAGACAAGACCGGGTGGGAGGGGAGCCCAGGACCCCAGCCTCCAGGTCTGTGGGGCCAGTGACAGTCCCAGCACCCAGCAGCACGAGCAGGTCCACCCCGCCAGCTTCAGCGTGCGCTCCCTCGGCAGGCCTGCTGTCGCTTCTGGGCGGCCCCCGCCCCCACCCCCAGCAGACGCTCTGGCCTGGACGACCCCCTGCACCGCCCCGGCTGCCCAGGGCTGACGTGGACAGGCCTAAGCTGCTGGGCGGCGGGACACCTCAGCCAACCGGCTAGGGAAGAGCTTCTGCGTCCCGGCTCGCAGGGAGCCTCATGGGGCGAGTCTGCGGTGCCACAAGCAAACATCAGCATTTCAAGACCCTTCTAAAGGCCTCCACCCGGAGTGTTCCTCCGGGAGAGTGGCTCTGCCCGGCCCAGGTACACACGCATGCCCCTCCAGGGCGCCCACCGACCCCCACTCACGTCATCGTCCCCGGCGCCGTCCTGACCACCGCTCTCCAAGAACTTCTTAAAACCGTCGAGTGTCCGCTCCCCGTTGTAATCAATGACCTGTGGACAGGGAGAGGGAGAGGGAGAGAGAGGGTCAGGCAGGAAGCCGGGCGGTGGCACACTCCTCCCCCCCAAAGCCGGCGGCGCACCGTCCTGTCCGTGCTCGCGGGGAAGAACTTCAGCGTGGGGAAGCTGTGCACTTTCACGGCCTCCACCTCGTTAGCCGTCGAGTCCATCTTGGCGATGAGGATGTTTTCATGGTCCTTGTACGTCTCTCCCAACTTATCCCAAATGGGAGCCAGCTGTTTGCAGTGCCCACACCATGGGGCATCTGAAAGAGAGCCGTGCTGAGGCGCTGAGCCCAGCGCCGCTTTCCGCCCGCCCCCAGCGCACACGCCCTCACAAGCCAGACCAGGGAAGCTGGAGGGGCTTCACTCACAGAATTCCACAAAGACATTCTTTTTCTCGTCAAAGGCAACTTCTTCAAAGTTTTTCCCGACCAGCACCTTGACAGGCTGCTTGTCCCAGTCTTCAGGCAGCTCCTGGCTCATGAGGTGGGGCTGGAGGGCAGGCGGAGCAGGGTCACGGACGCCTGGGGCCCCCAACAGGCCTCGGGGCCCCCACCATGGCTGGGGCCCCCACCTGTCCTCAGAGGACAAGAACTGCTCACGGAACCTCGGGAGAGGGCCGTGCCCGCGAGGTCGGGGCTGCTCCACACTCCCCAAGCAGGGGGACCAAGAGGGGTCCCCGTCCTCAGGGGTCTCCACTCAGGCACAGACATCCTCCACATGTGGCCACAGGAAGCCTGGGACCCTGAGGGCCCCGAGGCCAGCACAGGCCAGCCCCACACCAGGACGCGGCTCCCCCACCTTGATCTTGCCCTCCAGGAAGCGGTGGCAGAACTCCTCGATCCTCTCTGCCGTCAGCTCGTCCGACTCCGGCTTGTACTTGGTCATCTCCTCCTCCAGGGTGATGAGGCGCACGGCGGGGCACTCCTCCTTCTTGAGGCCGAAGAACTCGAGGATGCGCTGGTTGTCAGTGTGGTCGCTGTCGATAAAGATGAACAGGATCTGGGGGCAGAAGAGGCAGGGTAAGCAGGGTAAGCGGAGGGCTGAAGGCAGTTTCTGGTCCCCACTCACCGGGTCCCCTCCGGGACAGTCCTGAGAGCCGGAGGGAGCCTTGGGGCTGCCCTGCAGCCTGCGGCAGGCGTGTGAACAGCTCACCTTCCCCTTGAAGCGCTCGGCGGCCTTCTTGAAGTTGCTCAGCTTACTGTCGTAGTCAGACACACTCTTGGGCAGGAACAGCAGAATGTGGGTCTTGATTTCACCTCCGAAGATCTTCGGGGCTGTCTGTGTCGTAAGCATAGGTTACTGGGTGTGAGCCGTGAGCACAGGATATTCTCTCAACAGCTACGAGGCCACCGATGCAACGCTCCGTATGTGGGGGTCCCGGGGCCGGGACCTCGGGGCTCTGCCATGCCACCCCCTCTCAGGGCGCAGGACCCACAGGAGAGCCGCACCTGCTCTGTGAACTCGATGACCAGCGGCAGCTGGTTGTGCTTGATGAAGTCCAGCAGCTTCTCTTTGGTGACGTCCCCCTCAAAGTTGTTGCGGCCTTCATCAAACTGTGGACGCAGAGAGGGCCATGAGCACCTCGGTGCTCCCAAAGCCTCCCTCAGCACCCCCGGCTTGACAGTCTGACAGCCACCCTCCTGTCCCGGCTTCTGAGAGCAATGGGGGAGGAAGCCACATGCCTCTGTCCACAAAACACAGCCAGAGGAGGGCTGCAGAGAGCAGCATCTTCCCGGGCCCCAGGCAACAGCGACACCAAGGGGAGAGCGGGGGCCTTTCAGAGCGGCTGCAATTTCCTGCTCACGCTCAGAACACGCCCTCTCCCGAGCGTGCTGTGCCCTTGGATGGAAGCAGAGTGATGAGGGACGACCTGACAGAGGAGGTCAGCCAGGGATCCCTCCACCAGGCAGACGTTAGTGACTGGCAGAAAGCGAACACCCTCACCACTCAGCTGCAGTCATCTGGGAAAAACCAACTTTCACAAGACTGTTACTTGTGATTACAAATAATTTTTTTTTTTTTTTAAGATTTTATTTATTTGACAGAGAGAGACAGTGAGAGAGGGAACACAAGCAGGGGGAGCAGCAGAGGGAGGAGAAGCAGACTCCTGCTGAGCAAGGAGCCCAACGTGGGGCTCAATCCCAGGACCCTGGGATCATGACCTGAGCCGAAGGCAGACGCTTAACAATGGACCCACCCAGGCGCCCCAACTGTTATTTTGAATGAACGAGGTTTAAGTTGCCTCCACACACAGCCTGGGACTAGAACTCGCAACCCTGAGGTCAAGAGTCACCCCCTCCACCGACTGAGCCAGCCAGGCGCCTCTGGATGAACAAGGTGTTTAAAACATTTCTTAGGGGCTCCTGGGTGGCTCAGTCGGTTAAGCGTTTGCCTTTGGCTCAGGTCACGATCCTGGGGTCTTGGGATTGAGCCCCACGTCGGGGGGGTCCCTGCTCAGCGGGTAGTCTGCTTCTCCTCCCTCTGCCGTTCTCTCTCCCGCTCTCAAATTTTTTTTGAAGATTTTTATTCTATTATTGAGAGACAAACAGAATGACAACATGAGAGGGGGAGGGTCAGAGGGAGAAGCAGACTCCCTGCCGAGCAGGGAGCCCGATGTGGGACTCGATCCCGGGACTCCAGGATCATGACCTGAACTGAAGGCAGACGCTTCACCAACTGAGCCGCCCAGGCGCCCGATAAATAAAATATTTGAAAAAAAATTTTTTTTCTCAGTTCTGATTTCTGACCCAATAAAAATCAATAGGAATAATGTGCGACCACAGATTGGATCCCCAATAACATGAAGAGTTTGAGGAGTCCTGGGGCCCGAAGGTGGAAGACTGCGGTTGTTGCCCAGAGAGGCCCAGGGGGGCCCTGCAGCCAAGCCACAGCTCTGGATGGGGCGGCGCAGACACCACTCCAGACGCAGACGGGCCGATGCTCTGCCCACGCCTGCCCAGGTGAGGGTACAGGTGAGCCTTCAGTCATTCCCTCTGAACTGCCAGATCAGACCCAAGGAGAGAAACTACTCTCCTTTTCTTCCCAGTCATTTCCCTCTACGCTTCCCCAAAGGAACTTCTAGAAGAGCAGGTGGCCGCTCCCTGCTCCCACCATCGTTCCGTCAGAGCCGGAGCTCCAGCCTGACCATGACAGTGGCTGTTACGTCAGACCACACAGAAGGCTGGGCACTGGGAGCCCCCCCCACAGATGAAGCTGAAGCCTGCTTCCTCCTCCCCAAACCTGGGGCAGAGGAGAGGGAACGGGGGCAGAGAAGCCAAGGCCAGGAGGCCCGGCTCCAGCAGGCGTGCTGTGAGCCCCTACGAGAGGCACAGGCCATGGTGCCCCCCCGCTCCTCCGAACTGTGTCTCCTCCCCCACGCTGTGAGCGGTCTGCCCGATTTCACGCCGAGAGGCCCGAAGAACAGCACTGCCCCATGCCATCTGTCTCGAGACGCAGCCTTCTCAGTGACGGTGCCACATCCCACCACGTTCACGTCTACTTCGGGGAAAAGCAGCCAGCCCGCCCTCACTCAGCTCAGGACAGCAACGGAGGCTGGCTCCCTCAGGCCCCAACGACAAATGTCCCCAAAAGGCTCGACGCTCCAGGCAGTGGAGAAGAGGGCTAGCCCCACAGCTACTCCTGACCCTCCAGCTTCAAAGAATAAAAAAGAAAAAGCAAACGCCGTGACAAAGACAGAAAATAAGTAGCTCTCAAACCAAAGGTCCACCGGCAGTGACCCACAACCCAAGACGCCATCCTTCCAGCGAGTGGCAACTGGCCACTCCTGGGAGCCCACCTGCCCTGTCCTGCTGGGGAGGCGCCCGGCTCAGCGAGGCCGCCCCTCACGGCCCCGGGCAGACAGGAAGACCCAGCACACCCGGAGAAACTGGGCTGAACAGCCTGCACGAAGGAGGACAAGCAAAGATTGGGAAAATGAACCGGATGGTGGTGGGGAAGACGAGAGGCAGCACGGCACGAACTCGGGAGCTGGACCTGAGCCTCTGCCCTCCCGGCCGTGGTGCGGCCTGCGGGACTGCGGCTGTGGCCACCACTCACCTGCACAGCACCAAGTCCCCAGGCTCTGCTGGGCTTCTGCTCAAGGCTCTCCCCCAACCGGCACCAGACCCAAGGGGTTGGCTGTGCCCGGCAAGCACGGACCACAGGAAGGAAGTACACAGCGGTCAGCCCACCCGCCACGCTCACGTGGAGCCTCTGCAGACCTTCAGGGACACATGAGCACCAACGGTCCTCTGTGAAAATGGATCTGCTCTGGATCTTCAGGGTGACAGGGGAGCACTGTGTGGACGCAGGAGGGTGTACAGCTCTCGGTGGCCTCAGAGAAACTCCTTTCTCTGTCAGCCTCAACCTCAGGACCCAGGACTCTCACCACCCCCAGAGGCTCCCACCTCACCCACACCCCCAGGGGCTCCCATGGGCTCCCCCCATCACACACGTAACTGGGATTTCCTGGGCCCCTGGGCGACGACTACTGGCTAATCTAGCAACGCTGCTCCCTTTGACAGTGAAGACGGCGTCTGGAGTTCTTCTGAGAAAGGACGGACTACAGACACAGCAGGATGGCAAGAACACTGGAAGAAAGCCACCCCGAGCCTGGGTGTCCCCGGTCCTTCGGCACGCGGCTGAGAGATACCCTCGCCCCCCCGCCAGTGCCTGGCAAGGCGTCAGATGCAGGAGTGAGCACAGAGAGCGGACCGCGGCCCGGCTGCCCCCCCCACGGGGTGCACACACAGGGTGGCCCCAGCCCAGGGCCCGGCCCTTCTGAGCACACGCTGTGTTGCTTTGCTGGAGCTCTAAACCTGCCCACCTCCCACGCGGACTAACCAGGATAAAGAGGCCCTATCTCCACCCCTGACGACATGCCTCTGTCCCCGCTCTCCTGGCTCGCCCTCCCTTTCCACCGCCTGTGCCATCGAGACGATGCGGACACACTACCGGCCAGTGCAGGACAGCTGTGCTCCGAAATCACGGGGGTTCAGCCAGCCCACCTGGCTGTCTAGTGGCTAAAACAAAAATCAAGAGACTCCTGTGACCCCACGGTAACGCTGCCCATGTGAGCCAGGCCACATCCCAGCAACGGTGCCGGCAACCGAAAGGCACGGGGCCCCGGCCCCGTGCTCGCCACACTGTGGAGGCCGGGCTGGGCCAGCGGTGGGGACGCTCTCCCAAGAGCCAACACTCCCGAGTCCGTTTCTGGTGAGCAAACGGGAGCGCGCTTCACACGGCAGCGTCCACGTTAAGTAACGCCACGGCCTTACACTCCTATGCTCAGGACCCGTTAAAATAGCACACCTTGCTACACGTGTTTTACCAGTTTCTTTTGAGAAGAGCTAACCCTGCAGAGCGGCTGTGCTTGAAACACAACCCAGAGCAAAGGGCCCACGGCGCAAAGTCTGAAGGCCGTTGTCTAAGCGGCTCCTATGATCTGACACTGCACGACGGGCCCTCGGTAGGTCCAGCTGGCGGCGCGGCGCTGCCCGGGCAAGGTCCTCAAGCGCTGGGAGCAGGAAGGAAAGCAGCCCCCGCCGCAGCAGCTCACCGCCCGGGGCGGGGCCGCAGGAGGACCACTCACCTTCTTGAAGAGCACAACCCCGTCCTTGTCCAGCTGGTATTTGGAGAACACATCACTGTTGGATGTGATCCCAAAAGGTATGTCATCGATGGCTTCTGCCGCCAGCAGGAACTGCTTGGCAAAGTCCGACTCCACGTTCTACAGAGGAGAAGAAGCAGAGGTGGCCACGCACCCTGACACCGAGGATCCCTGCCGGGGTCAGCAGCAGGACAGACCACGGTGCCCAGGCCACAGGGAGCCCTCCTCCCACGACTGGGGGATGGAGGGTACAGGGGGAAGGCCCCGAGATGAAATTCCAAAGCCTCTACCTTGAAGAAGCCAATGACGGTCACCTCGCTGGACTCCAGCAAGGCCTCTGCAGCGGCCCCGTCGGGCAGCGTGGTGGCAGCAGGGCCCGTGCGCTTCTTCAGCCAGTTCACGATGTCCTCGGCCTCTCTGCCGGCTGTGCCCAAACACATGCGGTTCCACTGAAAACCAGGGCCCAGCCTCCCCGCCATTCTCCTCTGAGCTCGCTGCCTCTTTCCACACACCTGTGCAAATCCTAGGGCTAAAAAGCCTGTTCTGTGCACCTGAGAAGCTTTGATGGCGTTTGGAGCAAGGGAAAGGCAGTGGCCACCTCTGGGCAGTAGCGGGACAATTCATTTTCCTTCTCCGGTCCCTCTGCATTTTCTGAATTTCCCTGAATTTAAACTCATTAAACACACACAGATACACTTTCCCCCAGTGGCCTCACTCATCTTAATTAAAGATGTAATGGAATATTTAAAAAAAGAAAAAAAAAAAAAAGGTTGGTTAGTAAGCCAGCCGAACACCAGCTTTCCCTGTGAAAACAGGCGGAGCTCCAGCTGGCCTTGGGCACCCAGGCCGCTCAGGTGTCCCTGTCTGTGGGGTGGCCTACCCCACAAGCCTCCCAGCCTAGCAGGCGAGAGCGATCCTGCACCTGCGTACCACCCAGGGCAGATAAAATGAAAAGCTACAAGTCTGCTCCTCCTGAGACTGAGGCCAGTCACTTTCTCCCGTCAGTTTGGCTACCTGGTCCAACGTGAGGAAGTTGCGGAAGCTCACACTTAAAAGGATTCTCCTAAGTGGCAACTCAGAGCTGAGTCATCAGTTACAGGTGGAATTAAGAGGAGCTGTCTCCTTCGCCAAAGCTACGTGTCAGCGATGGGACCATGGGAACTGTGCGCTTCCTGTTCCAAAGTGAACACAAGTGAATGTGGGAACAATAAAACAGCAGCCTGGGAAGGAGACCAGAGTCACTGGCATCAGGATCAACTAGGCTGTTCCGGAGCATTCTGACAGGAGAGCCACAGAACCGGTTCTGTAGACAAAAGTCTCTCCGCTCGTCAGGACCTACCAGGCCCCAGAGGGGCCCAGCCTCCAGGAGGCAGCCCCAGAGGCGGCTGGCCACGAGGGCTCCTGCCACACAGGTGAGTGATGCCGGCCTGTCCCTCGGCGGCACTCGGCTTGGCGGCTGGCTCACCCGAGTGCCATCACTACACTTGTCGCTCCTGTGGTCCCAAGGGCCCAGCCTTCCTCTCCTCACTGGTCAACCTTACGACAGCCTCAGCTTGCTATCCACCCGACGGCTGTCCCTCCCCACCCACGAGATTCTGCAGGGATGGGAGAACACTCCTTACGAGAGCCTGAGAGGCTGAACTGGACCGAGAATGGGTTCCCGTCCCCGCCCCTCAGGCACGTTCCACGGCCGGCCGGCAGTCGCACCTGTGTACTCCCTGGGAGCAGCTGTGTCTCCGTTCTTGAAGAACTTGATCGTAGGGTAGCCACGGACACCATACTGCTGGGCCAGCTCAGACTCTTCCGTGGCATCGACCTTTGCCAGCCTGATCTCCGAGCCTTCTGCCTTCAGTTTCCCAGCAGCTTTGGCATACTCGGGGGCCAGAGCCTTGCAGTGGCCACACCAGGGGGCATCTGCAAGAGAAAACGGGTGCTAGAAGGCGGCACTGAGCAAGTTCCGCTGCTCCCCGTGCCTTCTCCTCCATAGCCCCTTCCATAAAAGTCTTATCTCCTCACAAAGATAAGCCCCTGTGAACACACGCAGCTGAGCTGCTATCTCGATGCTCTTAGGCAACGTCGGGACAGAGGCCACGAACGACAAACCGACACCAACATCCCCGTGGCTCTCACAGGCAGCACCGGACAAACTCTAGCGAGCGGTGCCTTCCTACCAGCGCAGGCAGCAAGGGCAGTCGTGTCCCTGGGGACGCAGGGAGGCTAAGAAGCTGGCGCCACAACGCCCGGCGCGTAGCAAGACCCGGGCGTGAGGGGGCGAGCCTCGTCTGGGCGCACCTGCCCGAGACGCACCTGAGCTCAGCAGCCGCCCTGGGCTCGAGCCTTCCGCCCCGGCGGGGGTCCAACCCTCACACACACAAAGGTGCCGGACGCGGGGTGACCAGCGGGGCAAGGCAGTGCGGGCGGGGGCGGGCGCTCCGGGGCCCGCCCCGCTCTCCCGGGCCAGCGGGGGACCCTGCCGCGCGGACATCAGGCACGAGGGCACGGGCCGGCCGTGGGCCCGCGGCCACCGCCAGGCGCCGGCGCCGGCGCGGGCAGGAGGCGCGCCCCGGGACGCTGACAGCAGCTCCGTGGGCGGCCCTGGCCCCGCGGAGGAGCCTCCCGGGCCCCGGAGCCCCCGCCCCGCCCCGCGGCGGCCCGGCCAGGCCCGGGCGGCGGCACTCACAGAACTCCACCAGCAGGTACTTGTGCGCCGCGAGCGCCTCCTCGAAGTTGCCCTTGTGGAGCACCAGGACGTGGTCCTCCTCCTCCGGGGCGGCGGCGCCCGCGCGCGCTAGCGCGGCCAGGGCCAGGCAGAGCAGAGCGCGGCGCAGCATGTCGGCAGCGGGCGCGGCGCTTCGCTTGGCGCCGCCGGGACACCGAGGCCACGAGAGCGCGCGCTGGCCGCCCCGCCCCTATAAGCCCGAGCGCCGCCGCGCGCGCGCCCGCCCGCGCCCGCGCGCGATTGGCTGACGGGCTCCGCGGCCCGCCTCCAAAGCGCTCGGATTGGCTATCCGCACTGGGCCCCCGACCCCGGATTCGGAATCGCTGTGGAGGCTGCCCTCGCCCTCGCCCGGGATTGGCCGAGGAGCTCGCGCTCGCGCTCTTCCCGGGTTCCTCATTGGCCTTCGGTGGAGAACTTTCTCTTCCTCGACTTGTGACTGGTGGCTTTCTCTTACACCTTCCGCGGGTCTGGAATGGCTGCTGCCTTCGGAGGCCCGGGCTCTGCGGCTCCTGATTGGCCAGGAGATGCGCGCATCCCCGCGCGATCCTTCGTCGAACGTGGCAGTGGGGCGGAGTTCCCAGATGAGGGGCGGAGCCGCGCCTGCGCCTCTGAAACCCCTCGTGTTGCATTCTGATTGGACGGCTTGTTCGTAACTGACACCGCCCCCCGGCCCGGCGAGCCGGAAGTTGGTGTAACGCAACTTCCGGTGCAACTTCCGGTGCGCGTGAGGGTCTGGCGGTACCTGCCGAGGAGCCCGGCTAGGGGGGTGGACGGCGGCCCTCGGGGCTCGGCGGGCCGGGGCGGGCTCGGCGGCGGCGGGTCGGGGCGCCGAGGAGGCGCGCGGGTGGCGTGGGGATGACCGGGGCCGAACGTGCTGGGGCTGGAAGGCGGGCGAGGAACCCTCCCGGCGCGGGCGCAGGAAGAGGGGGAGGTTGGGCCGTGGAAACGGGGACGCGGCCCCGAAGCCTGGGGGCAGGCGGCCCCGGAGCACTGCTCGGCGTCCGGCCTGTGGAAGGCTCCGGGGGGCGACGCGGGGCCTTGCAGGAGCCGCCGCCCCTCCGTCCCCGCCGGCTGCCGACCCCTCGCAGCTGTCTGGTGACCCCCGCGCGCTGCCCCCGAGATTGCTGAGCACGGGCCGGGACTTGGTTCACTGAGTACGGGAATTCCCGTAATTTTTAAATATTGATACGTTGCATTGATGTTTGAATGCATTGGGTTAAATGAAAGTGCTCAATTTTAGCCATGTCCTTTTTTTTTTTTTTTTTTTTTTTTACCGAGCTTCTAGAAAATTTAAGATAACGGGTGTGGCTCACATTTTAATTTTGTTGGCAATGCTGTGGACCGATCAACTTGTCCCTTGCCCTCACTGCTCAAAGCCTCTGCACCACCTCTGCCTTCCTCTGGCTGCCCTCCCCACCCCCACTCCTTGAACACCGTTTTTCTCCAGAAAACCTTCCTCTTTATTTGTATTCACTTCCTTTGTTACGAAAGGCCACCACCACTAGTTTTAGGACTCATCATCAATTTAATAACTTGGCAGGAAGAAAAGAAACACACCCACATTAAATGTACACGTTGGCTGTAGTAACATCCTCATTTCAGAAACGGTAGGGCATAGAAAAAAATGCTTTCGTACTTTTGAGAGTTTGCGTTTGATACATTGCATTTGAGGGTGTGTTTTCCCATCTCCTATGTGGGGCTCCCTCAGCTAGAATATGAATTCCTTAAGGTCAAGACCAGTTTCTCTGTCCTTCCCCCAGTGCCAGCAGAGCAAGGGTCAGCAAAGGTGGTTGTATCCATTGTGATATGTCTTCACAGGGATGACGCGACAGGAGCTGGGACTTTGGGCACAGAAAGGCTATGAACATGTGCCTGGCAGGTGCCGGCCTCCACCCCAGCTTCCGAGGGGCCCTGGCCTGGTGGTTCAATGGATGAATGACAGCTCTTTGTAACTAATAATTGCAAGCAAAGTCCCCTTTGCTCTCTGGGAAATGGGGGGCAGTTGCTTCATGGCTGCTTTCCTAACTCCAACGTTTTTGTAATTGCCATGACCCTTATTTTACAGACCACAATTTGGGGCCTGATGTAAGGGGTATTTGTATCTTGTCTAGATTTCAGAGGCGCTCATGAGACCAGTGTTCAGATGCCTGCATATTGGGGCTTGAGTTTTTTCTGCTGATGGGGACAGAGTGAAGAGATTTAAATTACCATGATGTTCATTAGTTTGTGATGGTTTGGAGTAGCTTCACCCCAGAGCATACAGTCTTGACAGAAGATGAGAACTTTGGGATCAAGGGGAGAACAAACCAGACAAGGATCCAGTTGTGGCTGTGAATGAGCCTTACTTTCTTTTGAGTCTGTGCCTCCGTGGCTGCAGCAGAGTGTAGTGGACGCACCTTGATGCAGGTGATGGCCGTGCAGCCCGGGTGGCCACAGCAGGGCCTAAGCAAGGCTCTGGCCTGAACGGGGCACGGTATCTTGGTATCTTGGCTGCACTGATGTGCCTTCTCAAGGTGCCTGCTCATCTTGAATTGGCCTCATGTACCAACCTGCAGGAGCAGCAAAGTGGGGTTCTCAGCTGGAAGGAGGGCTGTTTTGGGGAGGCTCGGAGATCCCCAGTTTCTGTGGGGTTGGTCCCAGAACACAGGGGGGTTCACTGAACACCTCTGCAGGCCTCAGCTTTGAGGGGAGGGCTGGCATCCACCTCCTCCTTCCTAAGACCCACTCACATACCTTCCAGAAGCATCTCCAGAGAGAGGCCATGGGGCTATGTTCACCTTGTACCCTGGGCCCTGAGCTGGAATGTGCCCTGGGAGGTCAGCGCCACCCCCCCCCCCCCCCCGTGACTGTGGCTCTGGTGTCTCGGGCCCAGCACCGCTGCTTCACGACACCCTCCAGGCGTCTCTCATTCTCTGAGGAGGTACCCGTTAAATCTCATGTGAACTACTTACTGAGTGATAAGATGTTTTGATAAATACTATTCTCAAAAATAGAGTTCTTGGATTGTTTGAGTGGCTCAGTCGGTGAAGCATCTGCCTTCGGCTCAGGTCGTGATCCCGGAGTCGGCTTCTCCCTCTCCCTCTGCCCTCCTGCTTGTGCTCGTTCTCTCTCTCTCTCAAATAGATATAAAATCTTTTTTTGTTTTTTAAATAGAGTTCTCAGAATAAAACTCCTTTCCAATCTGTGATAGGATAGGAGGTGTTGAGGGAGTCAACAGCAGGCTCATGGACACGCTGGGCTACTGAACGACTGCTGGGCCACAGGGTCCCACTGCCAGGCAGGACCACACAGCCCTGCACACATGCATGCTGGGGTGCAGTGGGGAGCTGTGGCCCTGTGGGGGGGGAGTGGAAGGGGTCCTGATTATGGAGTGGGACAGTGTGGGGCATGAAGTTTATCATAAATCACAGTAATTGGTGGTTAATCAGTCACATCAGAGGTCCTGACCTGGCATCCACTGGCACCTCCTTGGTGGAGAAGGGCCCATCTGGGAGTAGATGAGGAGGGGGCAGCTTGGGGGTTCCTAGGGGACATGGACAGAGGGCAGGGTGGAAGAGGACCACAGGCACAGGCCCCCAGGCTGTACAGATAGGCGCAAAGTGAAACCAGGAGGATCGGGTTAGACTTGGGACCCAGGAGACACGTCCCAAGACAAGTCCTGCAGGCACCACCCTATGTGGCCCTTCGCCCAGGGAGGGGACCCAGGAGACACGTCCTGTGAGTCCTGCAGGCACCACCCTATGTGGCCCTTCACCCGGGGAGGGGCTGGAGCAAAGTCCTGGCTCTTGGCAAGGTGCCCGTCCAACTCAGCACTTCGGGTCCGAGTTCATGTGTGTGACTAAAGCTGGGAAAGTCCATGGCCTGACAGAGCCTCAGAGGGCCCTGGCCCACTGAACTGTTGATGGCACGATTACCCTGGGTTTAGATTTTCCCTGGACCTTTGAGGAGACGTGCCGGGAGAGGTGTGGCAGTGGCCAGCCCCAGAGCGGCGGTGGGCCCGCTGAGCTGGGAGCTGCTGCCTGGTTACACCTCTGGGGGCAGCGGTGAGTTTCAGAGGTAGCTGGTCCGAGTTCAGTGGGGAGGGCGCCAGACCCAGAGCCCAGAACGGTGCAGCCCCACTGGCTCTCCCTGCCCGGGCCCGTGCTACCGGACTTGGGGCAGGCCCGCTCTTTGCCCCTGTGGCATGTGGAATCGAGAGCCCGGGCCTCGGCTGCTTCCTGCGGCCGCTCTCGGACCTGTGTTTGGGCAGGAAGGGCCCCTTCACTTGTCATCCAGCAGGGGGCGCCGCTGAGCGGGGCCGAGGCAGGTGCCAGCCACGTGGAGGCGGCCCTGGCACAGGCGTGTGGTCACCGCTCCACCCCAGCCCCAGCCGGCGATAAGCTGCTGGCAGAGCACACCCTGCAGGTAAGCACCGGCAGGAGGGGCAGGCCCCCAGAGGTGTGGCCAGCAGCCTCTAAGAGAGCGGCTTCCCGTCCCCACCAAGCGTGGCACAAAACCACTTTTCTAACCCACTCAGTCGGCGCACAGGTTTCACAACAGGCCCCAGGCCAGACGAGAGGGTTTCTGGAGTTAGGTTCCCCATCTGCCTTTTCCGTCCTGGGGCTGGGGAGGGGGCACATAGTTGCTAACGCCCTGGGGTGGTGCGGGGGGGGGGGGCAGTGTCATCCTCCCACACCCCCCCACCCCCAGGGTCCCGTAGAGGCCATGCGAGGCAGTGGGACTGGCTGTCCTTCAGGAGTCCTCCTTGCTGCTCTTTCGCACCTCTAAGCAGTGAGGTCCCCCCGTCTCCTCCTAGCTACCCCACTTCACTCATTCCACCTTCGGACCCCTGATCCCGTGGGGCCCTCCGGAGCCCTGCCGCCCACAGCAACGACTTCCCGGCGCCCTCCTGCCCCCACTGCAGGGCAGCCCGGCCACACCACGCAGGGACCCCCTCACCCCCTCCCCCCACGGACGCCTCTGACACAGGTCTCGTCTCCAGCGAGGTTCCCCTTCTTCAGGGTTGGGGCATTTCCTCTGTGGAGCCCGTGCTCCAGACTCCCAGAAAGACCTGCGCACCCACCCCCCACTGGCCAAGAACGGTGTAACCTGGGCAATTTGGGGAGACACCAGGCCTACACCCAGTGAAGCACTGGCCAGATGAAACTGGTATGAAAGCCTTCCATTCACTCTTCC